TCTTTCTTGCCCTGGGCTGGGTTCAAACTGCAGTCCTCAGATCCTTCTGAGTAGCTAGGGTTATGGGCATGAGCAACCTGTGCCCAGCAAGCCATGGCCTTTAGTGCTAAGCACATGGTATTCTAGCAGTGAGCTGTACTTTTTTTGTTGTTGTTGTTTTAAATTGGTTTCTCTTATTGTTCAGTGAGTTTTTTATATACGTTAAAACCAGTCCATCAGATCTATGTTTTGCAGTTACCTTCTGCCAATCTGTGATTGTCTTTGGTGGTTTTACAAGGTAGAAACTTAATGTTTCTTTCTTTTGGTACTATGTTTTTGATGTACAAAAAACAATATCAAACCCAAGACCACCTAAGTATTTTCCTGTCTTATCTTGAAAGTATTGTAAGATGACATCCTTTTTTTTTTTTTGCCAGTCCTGGAGCTTGAACTCAGGGCCTGGACACTGTCCCTGAGCTTCTTTTGCTCAAGGCTAGCACTTTACCACTTGAGCCACAGCACCACTTATGGCTTTTTCTGTTTATGTGGTACTCAGGGCTTCATTCATGCTAGACAAGCACTCTACATTCCCAGCCACATTCATAGCCCAAGATGACATTCTTTTTATGTACCAACTGGGATATCCTATTGGGTCACATTTGATATAGGAAGTATATGAGTAGGAGAACTGGTATATGAGTGGCTGGTTCTTGGTAGTGTCATATTTTATTACTGAAGTAGAGAATTAAGGTTACCTTACATATGTTATCTTGAATAGTTTGAAATATGGGCATATCTAATAATATTTGGAGAATTTAAAGCAGATGAATAGTGGCTTTTAGGACTAGACTGGGCTAGGCTAACTTTTTGGGGGCATATTGGCAAATTAAGGTAGATAAAACAGCATACATAAAGCCAAACACTGAGGACTGACTTGTCACAGTTGGGTGATAAGGATTTCCCAGCATCCTTCACAATGTCTAGATAATACAAACAGTAGATGAGCACCCAAGTACCTCTTTTGTCTAAAATACAGGTCCTATAACTGGGTGGAGGGGAACTGGTAGTGGGAGAGAAGTATATTCCCTGCATTTGCTGGAGACTCTACCTTGTTCTCAATACAACAGATTGCCTGCTGCTTGAGAACTCTTTCTTTTTTAAGCTTTCCCATGTTGATCCCATTCCACTTACCATTTCTTGGTCCCTAACCTGGGCCAGGCTTCTCAATAAACCTTCCAAAAGATCTCTGTTCTGGATTATTCCCTTTGCTGCTCTTTCCTGAGAAGGGTTACTATCCTCTGCCTCTGAGCTCTTCATAAGTATGTGGTAGCATACTGTCTGGTCTAATAGAAGTTAGGAATATGCAGTCTTCAGATCATCAAGAGTACATTAATTACATACAGGCTCATGCCTGTAATCCTAGCTACTCTAGAGGCTGAGATCTGAGGATCTCGGTTCAAAGCCAGCCCAGGCTGGAAAGTTCTTGAGACTCTTATCTCCAATAAACCACCAAAAAACGGAAGTGGCTCTGTGTGGCTTATGTGGTAGAGCGCTAGCTTTGAGCTAAAGAGCTCAGAACAGTGCCCAGGCCCAGAGTTCAATCCCAGTGACTGACCAAAAAAAAAAAAAAGGGTAGATAATTTCACTAAGTCTTAATTCAAAGTATAAAAGAAAATGAGTTACTCCTAGAAGGTTCCCAAGAAATAGTGCATATGAAAATGCTTTTATAAACTGGGAAGCAGCACAAATAGATTATTTGTAAACCAGCATCAATGCTTCCTGCGTCAGTAGCTATAACATCCCTTTGGAACTTGTTAATAGTAAAACCTTGTCTCAACTAGAAAGCTAAAAGTAATAAAAATAAGGGGGAAATATCTAGATACTTTGTGTACTTGAAGTTATGGACTATTTGTCTTTCTGTAACTGGTTTATTTTACTTAGCTTAACCTTTCAAGATTCACCCATGTGCTAGCATGTGACGGGATTTCCTTTTAAGGCTGAATAGTATTCCATTGTATGTGAAGTGCCTAATTTTCTTTTTCCATTCATCCATTTTTTGATGGACATTTGGGTTGCTTCCACTACTTAGCTATAGTGCTGCTAAGAACAGGGGTGTACAAACATCTCTGTAAGATCCTGTTTGAGTTATTTTGGCTACAAATGCAGAAATGAGGTTGCTGGAACATATGGCAGCTGCTTTTCCGTAGCAGTTGTACCATTTTACAATCCTTTTCACAGTGCATAAGAATTCCAACTTCTCCACATCCCTGTCAACATTTGACTAACCTTTCAAACTTCACTCTTGGAACAGTGATTTTTAGCTGAAACCATGGGCTTTTGTAGTGATTATAGATCAAGGGAAGAAATCATGGTCTGGGAGAAAACAAACCAGTGGGCAAAAGTAATTGTAGCTGTTGGTCAGAAAGATGAGCAGAGGGCTGGGAAGGTGGCTCAGTGGTAGAGCGCTTGCCTTGCATGCCTGAGGCCCTGGGTTCGATTCCTCAGCACGACATAAGCAAAAAGAAAAAAGCCGGAAGTGGTGCTGTGGCTCAAGTGGTAGAGCGCTAGCCTTGAGCTGAAGAGTTGAGGGACAGCTCCCAGGCCCAGAGTTCAGGCCTCACAACTGGACCCCCCCAAAAAAAAGAAAAGAAAAAAAGAAAGATGAGCAGAATCCACCATTTGTCAGAAAGAAAAACTTAACTGGAAAACAGTACTTGTGTGTTTCAGGGTGATTTTAGTTTGTGTGTGTGTGCTCATGCGTGCATGTGTGCACACGTACACATGCATGTATGTTTTACACTCAATGAACAGAAGGAGAAAATGAATTATATGCTTTAGTATGCATGAAGGAGGTGGACAGTGTTGACTGGGGCGAGTGGAGGATTCTTGAAGGAAATGGTTGTGAATGCTAGCTAGAGAATGTAGATTTTTGTTTTTGGTTCCGGTCGTGGGGCCTGAGCTCTGGGCCTGGGCACTGTCCCTCAGCTCTTCAGCTCAAGGCTAGCGCTCTACCACTTGAGCCACAGCACCACTTCCGGCTTTTTTCTTTTTGC